AAATTTTTAGTAATTATGATAATCAATAAATATACATAGACATGAATTAATTGAACATTTGAAATAAATTTTATTGTTAAAAAAACTTTTTCATAGGTAGACACCTTAAATGGAGAGAAAACTCTCTAATTATATACTCCCTCTTTCATAACATATAATATTTTTCCAAAAGAACAAACATTAAGAAAAAACTTTTTCTTTTAGAAAGTAGAATTTCATATATTAATTAAAACAATTCAACCAACTATAAAAAATATTGCAAAAGATTATTGGTCACACAATTTTCAATAAAGCTGACAAGTACCTTAAAGTATCAAAACATCTTTATATTGTGAAACAAAAAAAACTCCAAAACATCCTATATTATGAAACGGAGGGAGTATATGATTTTCTAACTTTTACTCTTTACTTCAAGTTTATTTATCATGAATTCATCATCATCTATATGCTGTTTTTCGTGCACCATGTCTAAGTGATTCAATTGTTAGGTTTTATGTTTTCAATGAAGTTAGGTTTCAATATAACCTAAAGAGTACAGTTTCATAAGCTTGAATAATTCAATTGTTACGTTTTAGGTTTTCACTGAGTTTGGGAATATCATTAGAGTCTTCATATTTACTTATACGCTATGCATGTTTGCTTTACCGCGCATCTAACAATCTGATCTTAGGTTAATATACTCTCTAAAAGCTTGTTATATTGTTTGAACTAGTATTTAATGAGTTAAACGTTTTCACAATTCGAAAAGTTAGTTAAGGAGTTTATTGAACTTTATCAGAACTTGAAGTTTAATGCATATTTTCACCTTAAAGTAACCTACGATAGTTGAGTCTATTAGGGTGTTAAAACATAGAGGTTGGAGCCACGACACTGGAAGGATATTAAATTTGTGTTTTGTGTTTTAGTCGATTCATAATTCCTAAATCGCTAAAATCAATCAATCTTTATTGTTGCATGATTCTCTGTAAATTATCTAGGTCTGACGCTTTTCTCCCATATATTTTCAGGGTCGATCCTGAGCATAGGCCTAAGAGGCATGGGTTTTGGGCCTCCAAAATTTTCTGATTTTTTAATATTGAAAATAGGCCCCCAATTTTTTTCTTTTACGAAAATGCCTTCAAATTAAAAATTTATCTATAAACCCCCTAAATTTTTTTTTGGGTTAGGGCCCCCAAAATCTCAGGTGCGGCCCTATATATTTTTACTGCTATTTAGATTTATTTTTGTGTTTGATTTGCTTATTCTACAATCACAAAAACGACCAAACATATTTTGTTGTAGCTTTGTTTTTTTTCATTACAATTTGAAGTGTGGTTAAAAAGTCCATGTGGATTCGATGCCTTATATATACTAATTGTGATTGCTGTTTATTTGCAAGAATTTAGTTGAGAGGTAAAACTCGAGACTACATCATATGTTAGGGTTTACCTTAATGACACAATGATCTTGCTGTAAGTGCACAACGATAAATTATAGTACTTAATGGTCAAATCCACTGAGCACTGGGTGGAAACTATAATCTGGACGCAATGCATTTTTTCAATTTAAAATCTTATCCATGAAAAAAAGAAAAGAAATTAATAAACAATCCATTAATTTCATATACAGTCCACTAATTTCATATATTGAAATTATTTTTCAATATTGATTTCATATAGGGCACCGCTTTACCAATCACTTATCTTGTGACAACAAACTTGCAAAAACCCACCAAACTCTGTTTGAGTCAATATCCTATATGGCGAGACCGGCTGGACCATTTTTCTTGGATTAGTTCCGATGCAAACCACTCCCTCGAGTGTATGTCAGTTTTAGAGGTGAGGAGCTACGCAACAAATTTTTCAGCCATGTGTTTAGGGCCTTTATAGACGCAGGGGTCAACATTTTCATAGATAGCCATGAGATGAGAGGAAGATACAATAGATACCTCGTAAGGAGAATCAAAAACTCAATGATCGCGCTTGTGATCTTCTCTGAAAGGTTTTCAGAATCAGAGTGGCCCTTGCACGAGGCGGTAAAGATTGCTGAGCGAGTGACGGCAGGTAAACTCGTGGCGATCCCTGTCTTCTATAGGGTGAGCATTGAGGATGTGACAATGTTCGAGGGAAAATTCGGAGAGTGTTTTGTGGAAACTGTGGTGAGAGGAAGAGGCCAGGATCATCCATATGGTCAGTTTTGGGTTGACTCAGTGCGGTTTATTGCAGAAAAGATCGGCTTCAACTCAGAAGTTTATAGGTACTTACAATTATAATACATGTTAACAGAACTTTTGAGTCCGTTATATTGGGATGAAAACGATTAAGAACTTTAGCAAAATTAAGAGAAAATTGAAATTGAGGCGAATACCTTTTGTCTAGGTTTTTTATTAAACTTCTGAATGCATAATACAATCTCCTAGAATCTCAATATATAAGTCCCAAATATATCGATACTATATAGGAAAACCTTAACATTAAATTTCATATTTCCTAATTGCACCGGATAGGAAACCTATATTAGAGCCCTTTTTAAAAACCATTATGATTTTACGCTCACTTGGACAACATATTAGTTTTCTCTTGATTGCAGCATTGACGTAGAGGAGATTGTTAAGGCCATAAAGAGACAACTACCATATCTGTCCCCAGCAATACGAACACTTCAACGACATTTTGCAAGAGAGTTTCTTATTGCTTCACTTGTTTCTGCCATCTGTTGTTACCTAATCCTTCACTGATTTAGAAGTTTCTTCAATGGCACGCAATGGTATTGAGCTGTCCTGATTTTGTTTGTCGTCAAACAGATTTTATGCTTTCTTTAAAGCTCATGATGTGTGTGACACCCGACTCGCTTACTTAGCCGAGAAGATAAGTCATGAAAAAAATCTATCAATTCTAACAGATACTTTTATGAAAATCAATACTTTATTCCATAACTCAAGTCTTAAATCATTTCACAAAAACCATAATTCCAACTTAATAAATCCTTCACGTGAAAACCAATGTAGAAAATACTAAGTAAATTGTTTAAAAATCCAAACATAAATCCCGCTAAAACCAGCACCCGGACAACATCCATCTTGAGCCACTACTCGGTAAAATCGGTATCACCTTAAAGGAGAGAAGGATGGGTAAGTAATTCCGGGAAGAAATTACTCAGTGAGATTGCTACCCACAACAACTCTAATACTTGGAAACAATAGGCAATCAAACACATTAAACCAGACATAGAACATGCATCACCCAACTTATTACTAGCAACATAACATTCACAACTAGCATNTCTACACCATAATCTCTTTTACTTATATATTAACTCATACTTAAACATTCCACTTTTCACAT